GAGACAGTTTTTTTTTAATGTTATCTTAGGGGTTCACTTACTTTTGCGTAGAACTGCATATTTTTGTCCAGACAATATCCAGACATTTAATTTTACTAAAAACATATCCAATCTAGACATTTATTTCTTTTTAAAGTCCTCCCTTTAGGACCTCACACATATATTAGCATCTCAGCCACTTTTCAAAACAGTTTGAATATTCAGCATCACCAACAGGTGTTTTCTCCATTCTCTATAAAGTTTAATCTTTCCACAGTATGAAACCTCTTTCCTTTCAGCAGAAATTTTAGTTTTGGGAAAAGCCAAAATTTGCCAGGAATTAAATCTGGAGGGTAGAAGGTTGGCTGACTGATCTGGGTGATGTGGGTTGTCAAAAATTTCTGGATGAGATAAATATACTGGACCCCCTTTTGCCTTTAAAACTATCTCAGTTCTTCTTGACATGAATTTGATAATATTCTGTAAGCACTCTTTCAAAGTTTGGGTCTATGCTATTCCAGATTGGTTGGCAGCATATCCAGGATTCAAATTTCCCTTTCTACCACTTCCCAAAGTTGCTTTATGGGACTGAGATCCAGGAACTGTGGAGGCCACTTTAACATAGAAAATATATTACTGGAATTCATGACCCAATCTGCCACTGATGCCATATTTAAATGATTTCTTATTAGTATTAAGGGTTTCAATATATGCCAAGAATATATTCCCCCTACCATTACACCACCACCACCACCACCACCACCACCATTAACGCCAGCCTGAACCATTAATACAAAGCTGCATAAATTCATACTTTCATGTTGGTCAGGCCACATTCTGGCTTTACCATTCAAAGGTCAATGCAGAAACTGAGACTCATTGCACATGGCAACATTTTTCTTATCTTCTGTGATTCAATTTTTTGATCCTTAACAAATTGTAGCCTCAATTTCTTGACAAGAGTGGCACCTAGCATGGTCTTCTGCTGCTGTAGCCCATCTGCTTCAAGCTTCCTCCACAGAATTGTTTCTTACCAGAATTCTTTTCTTTTTTTGACCATTTTCTGTAAACTATGGAGGTGGTTGTATATGAAAATCACTATAGATTGACAGTCTTTTAAATATTCAGTCCCATTTGTTTGGCACCAATGACCAAGCTGTGCTCAATGTCATTTAAGTGACCTTTCTTCCCCATACTAATTCATGAAGTGTTGATCAACAGATTGCTATGACCATATTTAAATGCTTATATCAATTAGATTGCTTCAACATCATTGGCTGATTAGAAATTTGCATAAAAGAGCATTTATTCACACATTGTGTGTTCAGAGAGGCTTTTCTTCTTCTAGCTGATGGGTGTGTGTGTATGTGACCTGTATCAAATAGATTTCAATTCTACACAAAATCATCAATTACCTGAGAGACCGCTTTCTGACTTCCATCAACCTCCAGATGAGTGACTCATTACACCTTCTCATTCTTGACTGACATAAAGTGGAAAGACTATATTGAATGCATTGCTAGGTCAGCTGTTAAGAAAGTTGGTTCACTTTGTTGTACTAGACAATTTTTCTCTCTAGAATCTATCTTACATATTCATAAGTCTACCATTTATCCATGCTTTGAATATTGCTGTCACATATGGTCTAGTGCTCCTGCTATATATATATATAGAGAGAGAGAGAAAGAGAGAGAGAGAGTCTTTATAAAAATCAAATAAGAATCAGCAATATTATTGATCCTGACCAAGTGTCTCATCTCAGTCACTTTCCCATTGCTGTAAAGTTGCTTCTATGTGCCGTTAATTTCCTGATAATTGTTTGGATGAGATCTTTGCCTAGACTTTATGAATTTAAACATAGTACAAGATTGGCAACAAGATCTCATCAATTTACAGTTGAACTGACTAGATGTAACCATAAAGTCTATGCTAACAGTTTTTTTTTCTCACACTTCTTGCTGTGGAACTCTCTTTTGGCTCCATGCTTTCCAGTTAACTTTGATCTTCAGAAATTTAAATACAATGTCAATCATTATCTACTGCCTTCCTGATTACTCTTCTATTGTTCTTACTGCTTAGTAATGATTTTGTTTTCTAATTTTTTTCACACCCAGTAACCCATTGTGTCTTAGTGGCTTTACAGCCTTGCTTGGAGTAGATACAATTTTTTTAAAAAAGTCGGGGATTATTCATGTATTCACTTTTACTCTTTTTATATAACAGATATCTACAACTTTGAACTTTTGAAAGCACCTCATTTTCACTCAATCATACACACAGACACAAGTATATACTAAAGTCATTAAGTCTTTGTTGCATTTGAATTAGGAAAAAGGTTCAATATTTCCTAAAGTTGTATACATGTTGTGCTAAGGCACAGTCAGATATCATTATTTTAATGCGGATATTTCAAATTATTAGCTTGAAAGTGGAGAAAGAAAATGAAAAGAAAAATCATTGCAAAAGTTCTTTTATCTGTTATGTCTCTTCAGGACATAGGTAATCATGTCATTCAACAATTTCATGAAAGTAAATACTAAAAAATTGAAAATATATTTTTACTTCTCATCATTACAATTTTCCATGCTTTACTTCTTATTTATCCTTAAGAAAGGAATTTATACATAATCACAATGCATACAGAGAGAAAGGGATAGACAGAGAAGTATAGATAGAGAGATAATACAAGTATAATAATTGTGGCATGTCAGATGCATGTGTCTATTTAATTCTAAGTTTTTTCTAATTGAGATTTAAATGATCTCCCCTTGAATTTTTCTAAAGGATATTCAAAGCATAGAAAAATTACAGGCTGTATTGGATTGAATAATATAAAAGCTCCAGTAAATGATATTTTCCTGTATGGTGAAAGTACTAATGAATATTGTATCAACTAGGCTCTCACCATCCTATGAATGTCACCTCTTCACAACCCAATTTGCTTTTTGTTCTGGTAAGAAGGGATGTAATGATGGCATATATCTTATCAAATAACTCCAGGAAATTGCATACCTCTCCAATAGAAAACTGTATACCTGTGCTATGTTGACCTCACAGCAGCATCAATATAGAGACTTCCTCTTTTCATTCATTAGAATCAATAGAGACTTCCTCTTTTCATCCACTAGAAACTGCTTTCCAAGCTCTGACTTGTCTAGATCTAATAGAGGAAATATATTGATCCACAAAATCATACATGTCTGATGAAGTCCCCATACAGAAACAATTCAAACCTGAGCAAGTGTATGACAAGGAGGAAATGAAAACCCCAATATATTTAATATTTTCCTAGATTATGCTTTGCACATATACAAGTACAGATGCAAAGAAAGAAGCACCAACCATTTAAGTATTCCATACCACATTCCAAATGAATTTACTAATAGAAAACAGCATTCTTGCTTTCCCTCTTGAGACCAGTTATGAGTGGGAGGGACTATGCCAATGACATAGGTATTCATAGTTGGGATAAGAATAATCTTGAACAAAAATCAACATCCTTTACCAAATGTCGAAATAATAGGATTCAAGATAAATCTTTTCAGAACAGAAGCAGTGATGTCATCTACCCTGAATCCATCATAAAAATTCAGTATGTGGAATTATAAATACTAAATATTTAAAATACTTTGGTGTATGGATCAGTTATAACAAATTTAGTATAGGAGTTAAGGAAATTGAGCATCAAATAGGTCTTACTAGAGGTAATTTCATCTAACACTGCAAATTGTTACAAAACCAAAACCTTAACCTGAAAACTTGAGCCACATTGTTAAATAACTGCATCAGATCAAGACTTTCATATAAATGTCATGCATCATATGGAAATATATAAACTATCAACTGTATACAACCACTTTCTCAGATCAGTGGTTAAAAATGACTTTGAGCAAATGAAGACAGTAGTTCTTAGAGAGGACCCACCTCCTTCAAACCTTGTGGACTGGTACAAAAGGTTCACAAACAAAGAGTAGTATCAGATAACAGAAACCACATCACTTGAAGACAGCAGCAACAACTAAAATGGATATCATATGTGATCAAAGAGAAAATAATGATATAATCAAGATGTTTATATTCCACGCTACTTCAAATAAAAGGTTAAAAAGAAAAGCTTCATCAATACTGGAAAGAGTGCTGAAAAAAATTTTTAAGAAGAAGATTTTACAATTTTCACCTGAAAGTAGCACTGACTGCTCAGTCAGTGAATGCTGAAAGTTTCCTTATAAAGAAATGGCTAATATTACCATTAAACTTTATAGCTCACAGACTAAAAAATACTGTTAGCTTATATCAGTAGGACAGACACCTCAATCTAGGATGTATAGTAAGCTTATGTAGACATATTTAATAAAATGCATATGCGGCTATGCTGTCACTTAGTGAATGAAATAAATAGAATGGATTAAAGCAACTTTAGATGTGTTTCGTCTCTATAGAGCTACAGGGCAGAATTTTCATTTTGAATTTTTCCTCATTTAACTGTTAATTATTCATTATAGTTATAATTACAATCATTTTGATTCTTGATTCTTAAAGATAATAAGATAGCAAAGGAATTATGAATTCTTTGTTATAATTGTGAATTTTTATTTTAATATTTTTAGAATATGCAGATACTGAAATATTATATACATTACTATTAAAAATCCATTTAAATTAACAGGTTAAATATTTGTTATTTTTTATTACCACAATGAAGTAGATACCATAATTCATAAAGAAATACTTCAGTCAACTTCATAAACTGAAGATAACAGTTTATTAGAGAAACACGTGAATGGTTAATTAGTTATTGAATGAATTTTTGATCCACTACTAAACTTCTTTTCTAATTTATGCTTGTGTTTTACAATTTTTTTTTAATGTACTTTGGATTTGTTTTAACTTTTTTTTAATAGTATGCACATTGAATTTATGCTTTCAGGTAATTACTTTGAATGGTAACTCCCTTTTGTAATTAACTGAGCAATTATTTTTCCAATCACAATTTTTTTGCATGTTCTATACTAACCCTTCAGGTGACTCCTTCAGCTGCTGACATACATTCTGAACCAATAGAGGAAGAAACGCCAAAAATCAAGCAAGAAGAAATTGATATTGATTTGACTGACCCTGAGGTAGAAGCAGCAGCTCAAAAAATCCAAGCCTCTTTCCGAGGACACATGAAATTCAAAAGAAAGCAGACTATAAGCCAAGAAGAGAATCAAGAGAAAGAGACCATCACCAGTGAAAAAGATAAAGTAGAAAAAATAAGTTCAGCAATAAGCAGTTCACCAGTTTCAAGTGAAGGCAGCAGTGTACAGAAAGTGAGACAAGACGAAGGTGTGACTGAGGGAAAAGAGAAGGAAGAAAAAGTGGCAGATATGAAACCAACCGAGCAAACTGTAGAGAAAGTTAAGGAGAGTGGATCAGGTGAAGGTGACAAAGTAAACAAAAATGAAGGAAAGACCACTGAGGTAAAAATGCAAGAAGTGCCTGCTGAGATGAAAACCACTGTGACCCCCCAGGCAACAGAAGCTGAAGAAATTGATATTGACCTTAATGACCCTGATGTTGCTGCTGCGACTAAAAAGCTCCAGGCCGGCTTTCGTGGTCGTCTAAATCGAAGAAAGAAAGCCAAGGAGGATGCCTTAGCAGCTTCAACGGTACTTCTTTTGGACTAGTCCTTTTGTGTTGCTTGCTGCCTGGCAGTGATATGTTGCTCTAAAAATTGTCTTTGTTGTAGCTTATGAGCTTTTACTGTCACACTGCTAAACAATCTTTGTTTTTTTTTTTAGTATGGTGAAAATGAGTTTATTTCATGTTATAACACTTTTTTGTGCTTTACTTCATTTAATTTTTATATCAATGCTAAAAACTGCCTGAATTGAGTAAAATTATACAAAGTAAAATCATTAAGTTTTATTAAAAATTTTCGAAATAAATGCTGAAAATTTGGTTGTAAGATTGTTGGGTGCAAACAATTTTTTTGATTTAATTTTTCAGGCATATTTTTCTGATATCAAGTTGTGAAAGCACAAACAAGACATTACTGTTTTGAAAAATAGAATTGATTTCACCTGTAAATGTATCTGCATGCAAAGGCATTTCACATAACTATTCCAATGTTGGTATACATTTCTATGCACTTATCTTTGAAAAATTTTAACTATGTTTGTGAAACTTCCCTGTTTTTTGTCCTTGTCATGTTGTCATCATTGGTTTTGGGTCAATTTTTTTTCTCAACATCTTTCTTTTTTTATTTGATGATGTAAATATATTTAGGTGTTTTTCTAATTTCTGAAAAAAGTAGAATCCTTTTATTTTCATCTTATGACTTTTAATTATTTATTTATTTTCTTCAAATGTTCATACTATTTCACTTTGACTTTTATTTTTTCATTGATTTGAAAATTGAAAGATATTTATGAAATCAATGTACATCAAAAATAATATCTGATAAGTGATTATGAAATTAGTGCATAAAGTAAAACACTGAAATAACTGGGATTAAATACTATCTGAAAAGAAAAATCAATCGCCATATAGAAAGACCAAGAAAAAAGAACTATATCAAAACAATCAATATGAATTCGCTAAGGTGCTCATGAAATGTCATATTTATTGTAATTCAATACACTAAATTGTTTTTCTCTTGATTATTTTTTCTCCTATTCTTGGCTTGATACAGCTCAGCAATTCACTGTCACTTCAAGTGTGCGCTTTCCAAAATGTCTCCTGTTCTAATCCATTAAATTTTTTTCTTCCCCATTTATTGTCTGCACTACTCTTTTAGACATGCTTAAAAATAAGCACTGACCCATAACAAGTGCTTACATTTTTGTTGAGTGTTTTTTTTTAATCTTTATGTTATTAATACAAAAATAATCCTTTCAAATAACTCTTTAATCCAAAATAAAATGTATTTGAAAAAGATCACATAAATTCTACCTAAAATATAATGATACTTTTGGAGTTGATGTTTTATTATTGATTCAAAATTGCTACAATGTTTTTATTTAGAACTATGGCTTCCCACGGATTTATACATGTAAACTGTATTTGCAGTTATTCCATATATTTTTTCAAACTATTGTCTCTATCTTTATTACTTTTAGCATATATCAGCTGATACATTCTTCACTTTTGTTGTATCTAGTTGATGAAGGTGACAAAAATTAAGACAATAGTTTGAAAAATATATAAAATAATGAAGATATTTCACATTTGAACTTCATAAAAGTTTTGTTATTAATCCTTGCTTTGTTGTTATAATTGTTAACTTTCACACTGCCAGAAATAAATACTGATATTCTATTTGTCTGCTTTTATATAATAATAATTTTATATCATTATGTTACGACATGCTAATAAAAATGACTAAATATTTTGTCAATTTTAAATTTGTTGAATAATCTTAATAAATAATTAAGATTATTCACCTAAGCAATCATTTTTCCCAAATTCAGGATCATTGTATTTGTTCAGCTTTTCAAACTCCAATAGATTTACCATTGTTACTGCTTCTAGTTCTTAATTTACTTCAACAAAACAAATTTGCATCAAGAATATGTACTGAAGCACTGAGTAAATTATCAAATGTAATGGACTGCTTGATCAACATGCAACTTTCCATACAATGAATAGTTATTTTCTTTTCTATTACTTCAATTGTTTGTTTATCTATACTTGAGAGATATATTATAATGATTTGGAAACAAGTAATGGAGAACACTTAAAAATAAGTTTTCTCCCACTCACAAGAAACATACATATGCAGGTATATAATGTTCCATTTTGAGCCCACCATCTGTTAAATAGACTAAATTCAAGTTTGTTAAAAATAATAAAATATTTTATTGTAAACATTAATGTGATATTTCATAAAGATTATATATAACATAATATTGGTCATTTGTAAAGAAAAATTCATGTTACATATTTTACATGTTATGCTGCTACTGGAAACATAAGATGTCCTGTCACCAGTATTTATCTGTTAAATTTGTTGTAAACTGAAAATAACTGATTATAATATTCTGATTCATAAATCTTCTAATTAGAATGACCTTTTACTCTATAGTGAAGTTTATAAAATCAAAGGTTAGAATAAATAAAGTTCAATGTCTTTAAGAGGAAATCTTAATATAGGTGCAACAATCAAAAAATGACATTTTTTCTAAATTTTGAGAAAAACATGAATTTGCAATTACTTTGAATCATTCATGCAATAGATTGCTCCACTTTAAATATGATTGTCTTAAATTTAAAATTATTTTAAAGCTTATCCTAAAATTATGATTTTATTAAAGTTATAATGTATGGTTAAAATACATAATCTGAAGCACTTTTTGACTTAAAGCCATATTTTAAAAACTTAACATAATAATCTAAAGAATAATGATTCCAGTAAATAGAGTCATTGCATATTTGTTGCAGTAAATCATTGCAGACAAGTGACAATCAAATACTCTGGCTGTGTTCACAAGTAGATCATTGTGTTGTTATGCAACTGCTTTAGAATTCACAGCATGCTTCCTGTCTGCTCTTTTAAATCTTTTCCATATTCTTTTTTATCTCTTTCTATGGAATTTTGTATGATTTTTAACAAATTTTGCTTCCAGAATTTTAAAACTGCATTCACGCAGCTATTTGTTAATTTAATCTTCTTTGATTAACCTTTTCCTTCTGAACAATGAACAAGACACCTCTCCATGAACAGTGAGTAATTTTGATTTGAATATGTATGGAAGAATCTACTGAGACAAATTTGTTATTTTACTCATGATTTTCCAAGGACTTCTAGATCTTCACTTTTCTCCTTTTTAAACATGCTACTTGGTGATGGGTAGATGGGTTAGTTTCTTTTCTTTTGTATATGTCTTGCCTTTTTTCAAATTTTGCTTTAGTCCTTGTTGTTTTGTTTGATTTAAATCTAGTCTCTTTATTTTTATGGTTCCTCTTTTTTCATTACATTCTAGTTTTGTGTTTTCTAATTCTGATATACTCAAACAAAATGTGGCTTTTGTGTCATTTTTGCTTTGAGCAGGACCTTAATGTGGTCATAGATATGCTATGCCTTGATACACTTCTATTGAATATATGCTTTACTATGCTATATGTTACTGTATGGTGTAATTTTGCTGTATATTCAGGATCTTGCTTAACATATAGACAATGTTGCATCTTAATATAAAATACTTTATACTATGAAGCTTTCTTTGAGGATGTTGTATGACTTAGCCTTGTTGTAAAAGAAAGGTCTGGCTTCAACCCTTGCAGTACTTGCACCTTGACATGATTATTTAATGAAGCTGTGCTCAAGTGACACTGTGATGGTCTAGTGATGCTCTGACTGTGGCTCTTGCTGCAGACTTATTGTCCATGTCATATTGCATCCTGTACAATTATCAAAATTTAACCACTTTAGACAATACATCATATATAACAATGTACACACATGGTACATGCACACATACATATGTATATATATTTCATTAAATATGACAGATCAAGCCTCTTCTTTTCTTGCCTTCAATTAGATTTCTGAAGATTGTGCTTATGATGTCAAAGGACTTTTTCTTATAGCTGAATCAACTTGGAAAGCAAGGCATTGTCTGTCTACAAAGTAATGATAATATATCTATATGTTTATAAGATTTTTCTTTTGAGTCAAGATCATAATGAAGTCTTCTAATATAATAAATGGTTTTGAGGAAAATTCCATCATCATTTATTTTCATAATTAAAAATGAATAACAAAATTCCATTCCTAATTGATTCCAATAAAAAACACTGCTTTCAAAAACTTTTAATCAATGCTATCTTTTTACATTAACTAGTGCCTCCAGGCACAAAAAAATTCCATTTTAAGTACATTTTTCAAAAGAACAATTATAATTTCCTCAAAACCAATCATCTTTTACAAAGAAGTAATACATAACAAACTTTAATAAATGATGGCTTTCTATGCTTATGATAGAAAACTAGTACTAATTGTAAGATATGTATGCACATCAGTAAGTCCATAGTGCTATGATGAAATAGCATTTATTTTATACAACAAATATTTTCCAACCTAATATCCTTCCATATTAATGCAATTAATTAAATGGTGAATATTAATATCACATAGCTCAATCATTAAACATTGAAATTTCAAATCAAATTTGTGGCAGGCTACAAACATATACAAAAATATACATGTACACAACAACAACACCAACTATAATATGAACATATTAATTCTTCTCAAATGATTCTAATTTACTGTTATAAATATATAGAGTTAATATTAAGTTAATAAAATAGTTTTGAAAAATACTTTTGATCATATATATCAAAAAGATATCTAACCAAAGAAAATTGCTATCATATCTTGGCCCTCCACATTTAGTGAAATATGTTTGAAAGAGAACTTGCTGCCTAATTACTTAACAATTTATGTCAGATGTTTCACTTTTGGTAATCTATGAATGAAATAAAATGAAGATATAATTCCAAATAACTATACACTGTTCCTCTAATATAACAAATGCATACATATATATATATGAAAGGGTTGCTGAAAGTTCTTGAACTAAACAAGAAAGAAATAGACTAGAACCATGAAATGGCCATCCTTGATAGATCATTTCTTGCTTCTTTAATATTGCTTCAGCCCTGA